GAAATCTCTCTTGCCCACACTTTGCTAATTTCGAGAGTTCTGTTACTGATACGGTATACCTTCTTGTTCCTACCTGCAGATTATGTATAGCCTTCTTTTCTCTCTTGTGATCGCTCTCATATCAGATGCATTGAGCACGGGACCTGACAAAGTGCCTGTCCTGTCTTCGGATGTTTCTTTTAGGCGTGAATTTCAGGAGATTGTAAGTACTTATCTTATACTGTTGTTGCGTCTCAACTATCATGAACCTTATTTGGGAGATAATGCTTCCTTCAGGTGATGACTTCTGCAAATGATCCTACTGTTGAAGGCTTTGTTGATTGTGTAAGGTTTGCATGGGTTGTACATTTGATGTTGATACAAGATGGAACAGAGTTAAAGGAGAGCGGAGCTACTGCTTTGACTAATGAGATGAAATATACTTACTCATGCTTGGAAGCCATTTTTGCCAACAATGTTTTCCAGTTTTACTTGGATAAGATTCTTCAAACTGCAGCTTATCAGGTTGGTGTGAAATTTGTCTTATATGATTTTAAGCCCCTGTTTGACACCCGTTTTTTATCTCATTCTCATTCTCATTCTCATTTTTCTACAGTACTCATTTCTAACCACACATTCTTCAAATAAAATAATATTACACATAAACCCAAAAATTTTTCTTACTTTTTAACCACACATTCTTTACATCAATCACTATTCAAAAACTCATTCTTCAAAATAATGGGTGTCAAACGGGGCCTAAAAACTACTTGTAATGTCCTTTTTCATCTTTTCTTCACTTGTTTTGTTTTGTGTTGTGTCTGTGTCAGACGATTTTCAATATTTATTTCTCTGTCAACATATTTTGATAGCTGGAGTGAACCGCAACTGTCCTTTATACACGAAAGAAAGATACACACTGGTCTTATTTATTAATTTTATTTGTCTGGGTTAAAACTTATGTGCTAAGCTAAAAGTACAGCACAGTAATGTAACTCCTAGAGCGACTAGAATGGAAAGATTCTGAGATTTTTAATTCTTCTTAGCATCTTGATGGTGAGATAAACTTCCTGATTTCCTAAAAGAAAATAATTAGATTTTGGAACCCTGGACTGATATTAGTATCTATTTACCTTGCTATAGATCTCTCAATTGAGCATAGTATAATTATCCATCTGTTTATCACATTGTGGTAGAATCAATCTGCTTGATTTTGGAATTGGGCATTGGCTAGGACGAGATCTTTTTCTCCTTTTCAAGTCAATGTAACGAAGCTTTTGACAGTTTTCTTTCTTATATGTCTAAGAAATGGTAGTATGCTGACAAAGTATTAAGTAATAAATTGAGTAGCGTACATTTCAAAGAGATTGGCAGCAATTCGCTTCTACGTCCTAACTCACTCGAGCAATTCAAAATCATACAGCAAGTCTTGGTGGTCACTGGTCATGCACTCGCAACATATTGGAATGGTATTGACTGATACAAACGTTTGAACTTGTATAGTGTTCAAATACTAGTTTGGAGAAGATGTAGAGGGATTTTCTTTAGGCAGGGTTGGGGGAAGAGAGGAAGTTTCATTTGGTCAAATGGGGTGATATTTGTTCCCCTGTTAGGGTTGGGGGTCTTGGATTGAGGAGCCTTGTTTTATTTAACAAGACATTGTTGGGCAAGTGGTTGTGGCAATTTGGAATGGAGAGGGAGAGCTTCTGGAGAGAAATTATTGGGGGTGAAGTATCAAGTATGGTATCTTGGAGGGGGGTGGCGCTCGGATGAGGGTCGTGGTTCTTATGGGATGATCTTGTGGAAGTATATCAAGAAAGGATGGAACGATTTTCAGAATAGATTGACTTTTGTGGTGGGGAACGGGACGAATATCAAATTTTGGGACGATTGTTGGTGTGGAGATCAAACATTAAAAGTGCGGTTTTCTTCTTTACATCGCATTGTCTTGGAGCCTTCAGTCATGGTGAGTGATGCTATGGCTATATCTAATGGGAATCCTAGCTGGAACATTGCTTTCGGGAGGGGCTTACATGATTGAGAGTTGGATGACTATGCATTGTTTTTGGCCTCTCTGTATGATGTGCACATTCAGGTGGGAGAGGAAAACTGTAGCAGGTGGAGGGCGGCACGGAATGGTTTGTTTTTTGTTCGTACTTATTTCAGATTCTTATAGGAACCTGTTGAGAGCTCATTCCCCTGGCAAAGGGTGTAGCAAGTAAATTACCTCAAAGGGTGGCTTTTTTACTGTGGACGGTGGTGAGGGGACAGGTGTTAACGGCGGATAATCTTAGAAGAAAGGGCTATTGTATTACGGAGTGGTGCTATATGTGTAAGAGGGATGGCGAGACGATCGATCATTTGTTTATTCATTGTGACGGTGTTCGTTGGATGTGGAATGATATTCTGGCTTTGCAACATACGAGTTGGGTGTTGCTAAGACGTATCAAGGAGGTGGTGTGGGCATGGAAGAGAAAGTTTCGAGACAAGCCAAATACGGACGACAGAGCAATTTAGGGAATTGTTTTATTTGACTTTGTATAGTTGGTTTAAGGCTATAACCATTAGTCCGATAGAAGGGTTGCGGAATTTTTTATCGTTTCTATTTTGTTTAAACTGATAATGCACTCCTTGTATATTATCTTTTGATTTTATTTATAAAATTACGTGATTACCTATAAAAAAAAAGTATAGTGTTCAAATACAAAAAAGTTTTAGGAAAAACATAGAATGAGAAAAAAGTGCAATAAATCTTTTTTTTCCTTTTTTTTGGGAAAACAAAAAGTCTAAATGCAATGAAATAATATTTAAGATTAATACCATTATTCATCTCATTAGATAGATGTTAGAGAAACTATGCTGACACGGTGGGAGTCAAACTTTTGATCCTCTACTTATACTAGACTAGTACAAAGTACAATAAAATGAAATTTTGTAACCCATTACATAATTTACAAAATCAAGTGATATTTTAGATGAGAAATTGCTAATATTCGTTTCCTCTCTCCATATAACTTAATATATCCACCTTTTTGTAAGGATAAAATGAAAACTGATAGAAAATAATGGCTGGAGCTATCCTTGCCTCAAAATAGAAGAGGTTATTCACTAACCTACTGGATGGCAGAGCAGCAGAAATGTCATGGTATGAATGACTGTTACTTGGTCTCTGTCAATTTATTGAACCATGCTTCAGAGCTGAAGGCCTGGTTGGGAGCATCCTCAATCCCAATGTTTTGTTTTCTGACATATGCACCATTTTGTCGGGAAGCAAAGAAAGTGTTCGTTTTCTTTGTTTACTGAACACTTTTGAGTAAAAAACACTTGAATAGTGCCAAATCGGAAACATATACTTGATGCGATGAGGGTTTTTTGTTTATTGTTTTAATATATTATCCCAGTACATAAAAGTAGCAATATAATAATGGAATGTTCTCTTAAGAAATTCTCGAAGGGGCCCAAAGTTTGGGCACTCTACTCTACTTGTTTTTGTTTTTCTTCCTTTCCGTATTTGTATTTACGAATTCATTCTCCTTCCCTTTGTAAATTTGCCTTTCGTCTTCTCTTTGTTATTGAATTTGGGGCGGGCTCAAGGCTCTGGTGTTCAGTAACGGCTTAGAGTGTTACCTGTGCTTTGGATACATAATAAGGTTACAACTCTTTTGATTGTTACTTTGAGTGCCCTTGCAATCATGTAGTACTTGTCTCCAGAAACTATTTAAGCTGACTACTTCTTACAGATGCAGGTAGATTATAATTGTGTGTTCACGAATAATATGGTAATTTCAATGCTTGTGGTATGGCAGTTTCATTTGGAGTTGTAAAATATTTTAGCAATACTGACAAATGGAGTTTTATTAGAAGCACAAAGCTAGCACTCAATGTTTCTTTTCTTTTTATTTTTTCTTTATTGATACTCTGTTGAACAACTGTATTCTAGAGAGTACGGGTGTGTTCGGTAGAGATTAAAATTGATTAAAATTGAAAAATTAGCAGTTATTGTTGACTTTTATTAGACGAGTGAGACTCAATAACGGCTATATTTTCAATTTTAATTAGATTTTAATCACTCCCAAACATGCTCTACATTCTTCATTATGGGAACTAACAATTGGTCAAAGGGGAAGGTTAGGAATAGACCTTTTTCAGGTGTATCTAGTAACGTACTTGGCCTAACATTCAGTTCCTATAGCCAAGTTTTACTTATTTGGCCTTACATTCGGTTAAGTTTTTCTTCTCTTTTTTTAATGGCTCTGTAAAAACGAAGACTTCGTCCTGATGCCTGTGGTTGCCATGAACTTGCATTCCCCCCTCTGAAATCTGAGAACTGTTTCATAACTACCAAAATTATTTTTATCATTGCTCTCATTATTGCTCTTATCCATTTTATTTATAGCTTTGAAACTTTATTTATGCCATTTATTGGCTCTTAATTTATAAACTACTAGCCACACATTGTGTCATTGAAACCTGGAAATTCTGGTAGCATCATAGTTTTTATTGATTTATTTTCAGTCTTTTACATGCTACGTTGGACTGCCAGAAACATTTGGTGACTAACTTACAAACATATGCCATTTATTGGCTCTTAATTCATAAACTACTAGCCACACATTGTTTCATTGAAACCTGGAAATTCTGGTAGCATCATAGTTTTTATTGATTTATTTTCAGTCTTTTACATGCTAAGTTGGACTGCCAGAAACATTTGGTGACTAACTTACAAACATGTTTGTTGTGCTGTTAGCTGCATTTGCATGGATTTTGTTTTTCACAATTCACATAATCTAATGATGAACTGAATGAAGTGACCAAAGGATTCACGTAGCTGACCTCAAATTTTGGGGATAAGGCTTAGGGTGTGTTTGATAGCCTAGAAAATTAGGTGGAAAAAGAAAATGTTTTCCAACTTCACCCAATTAATGGTGTTTGATTGCAAAAGTTTTCTTGGCTTTTGTTTTTCCTACCTTTTATAGGTACAACTATTTTATGCACATTTTCTTGAATTTGTTTTCCCACCTATTAGGTGGGAAAGCAATTTCCATCCCTTTTTTTTTGCTTTTTTTTTTTTTTTTTTAG